ATATCCGATCCAGGAATTTGGGTCAGTATCGGACCGATACCGATACGTAATATCGGATCGGTCCATCTCTAGTTTTAATAGCTGCAGTTTGCAGTTTAGCGTCTTTGTTTTCCTTCCACGAAACAGACGTGGAGCGTATGTCAATCTAAAGAAGCCAGCACCGGAGAAGACAGAAGTGTTTCTGGATCATGTCCACTTATGGCTTCATCTTTGCCTGATCAGGCTTCAACCTAGATTTTCAGATGGCACCGTAAACTCTGTTTACAGACAACAATTTCTGGATGTGCTCCTGAGCCCATGAGGTTTCCTTGACAGCATCATGGCTGCTTTTATGCAGCGATGCCTGAGGACCCAAAGATCACAGCCATCCAGTACTGACTATCAGCCTCATCCCTTGCGCACAGAGATTCCTCCAGATGGTCTGAATCTTTGGATATTATGTACTGTAGATGATGAGATAGCCCTCTTCACAGTTTTATGTTGAAGAACTTTTTCAGAACTTTTTCCACAATTTGTAGATGCAGTTTTTTGCAGATTGGTTAACCTCTGCCCATCTTTACTTCTGATAAACTCTGCCTCTCTAAGATGTTCTTTTTATACCCAATCACATTAATGACCTGTTGTCAGTTAACCTAATTAGTTGTAAAATGTACCTCCAGCAGTTTCTGCTTTCCTACTTTTCTAGACTTTTCTTAGTGTGTCCACTAATACTTTTCATGCACAAGTAAAATGTCTCAGTTTAAACATTTGATATGTTTTCTGTGTTCTACAGTGGACAGAATTTAGTTTAAGAGACGTGCAAATAATTTTTGGTCACTTTTTTTGAATCAAGGCTGTAAATAAATAAACGTAAGTTAAACTAAACCTGCTGCAGCGTGAAGGGGAGTGAATCTGTTTTATCTCTATTACCATGGTTTGAAATTTGATGTGATTCAAAATTATAATTTAAACTGGAATAATAACAATGTGCAACGTTAAACAGGCCTGTGGCGTGCGCACCTGGTAGATGTGGTTGAGTTTGAAGTGTTTCAGGAGAAGCAGCAGAATTGCAGAGATGGCTTTCACAATGATCTCTTTGTGCCGATTCACATCAACACCAAGTTTCATGCTTTGCAGCACTGTGGTCCTGCAGGGTCAGACAGAAGAGATCAGGTCAGATAACCCTCAGTCTGTTCTGCTCGCAGGTAAAAACTAACACCTGCCTGTAAATCAGAACGTAGCAATCTTAGAGTCTACTGTTCTCAAACATGCTCAGGTAAAATAACCTGCCGATAAACCACATCTCCTTGTTTAAAAAAAAAAAAACAAGCGTGAAACCAGTTGCAGCTCTGTATGTACAAGTGTGCATGACCTGAAAACCTGTACTCACCCTTAAATGTGAGTACATTAGATAATGGAAATGTCTCTCGGTTAGCATATGTTCCCTCTTTATCACATAATGGCACAGTGGATAAGAAACTGGCAGGCTTTTCAAGGCACTTACGGCATCTCCTCCGGCAGCACGTCTGCCAGGATGTTAATGGAGTCGGTTTTAGCTTTGGATGTCGGAGCAGCAGCGAGCAGGATCTTCAGCAGAGCAATCTGCAGAGAGACCAAGCATGATGGAGTGATTTAAACACTTTAAATCCAGCCTGCCAACACTGAGGTTTCTAAATCTTGGAGTTTTATTTATTTACTTCAAATGTATCCAGGGTATAATTTGTAAAATCTAACTAAATGCTTTAGTATAACTAACAGCACACCACTGATCTGTGACACAACACTTTACACAAGTGCTGCAATAGAGTATTTGTGTAATAGTCTTTATTGCCATCCCTGAGCAGACCCTGCTCTGTTGTTGCTTTCACACAGAATTACAGGTTTTAAAGCCTTTTTATGACTCTACCACAGCTGTATCACAGCTGTAGTATGAGTAGTCCCACAGTAGCACAATATAAACCATACAATACTAACCATGTATTGAGGCAAACTGGGCAGAATCCCCTGGTAAAGCAGCTCGGTGGCACACGTCTCCACTTCCTCTTCCCCCTGACGACAAGAAAGAAGAAAAACACAAAACAAGAGATGTCAAGTTGAAGAATTTACTTTGTGTGTTTTTCTTTAACTGAATAATTAAAGTGGACCTATTATGCTTACTGTGGGAATAATTTCTGCATGGCCAGATTTAAAATTATGAGGTCAGTGTATGTGCAAAAGGCTTCAGATAGGCGTCAGGCAATTTGTTTCTGCTGCTGGATGTGTACGATATGAATGAACAAAGTTGTGTTTCAGATAGAAGATGAACTAAGAGGCTGCACCAAGGCCCATTATATGATTAAAAAAGGACTATTCTGAACTGAGTAACCATGCCAACCAACCTTAGTGAAGTCTAATGAGAGGTACCACAACAGATCTCCTTTTAATAAAGCTGTATCTGTTTATACTTACGCCAGAAAGAGGGGTTTTCTGAAATTCCTCCTCCTTTGTGATCTGTAGTTCAGCTATAGAGACATACTTGTGCTGAAAAATAAGATAGCATTTAATAAATTAAGGTTCAGCAACACTTCAGGTGTGTGAAATTAAGCCATGCTTCAATATCCCTAATGAAGTACAGTGCAAAATACTACAATACCTGCTTTAAGGTCTTGATGCTCTCGTGAATTGGCCTGGGTAATCCAACCACTGTATCTGTATCACTGTAATGTGTGCACAAAATAAACAGTTCTTAACATGTCAATATTTATGCACAAAAGCTAACTGTCATCTCATAAAAAATGAGGAAAACACTACCTTCCAAGAGTGTAACCAATGAATTTACTTCTACTTGATTCTAGGAAGTTTTCAATATCTTTTTCCCTGTTGGAGCAAAAACAGTAACATCAATAACAAAAAAAAGTCTTAATTGTATATTTGTGGATATAAAGGAGGAACTAACAGGCATCATTACAGTTCAGCATTGCTGTTTGGTGAGACTGAGCAGTACCTGACTTTAGGAGCCCACGGCAGACCTTTTGGGAAGGACACCCTCTCCGATGGAGGATGAGGAATAGGTGGAGGCATCACCTCGTCCCGCTCAAGAGGGAAAGTTTCTGCTTCTATAGAGTTATCATTGTCATCGTTGTCATCTTCATCTTCTCGTGAGTCATCCGCCTTGTAAGGATCCTTTTCATTGAATGCATCAAGGTTATCCTGTTTTATCAGCGCCTGTGTTTGAGTTACAAGATAATTACAACTAGACCGAAGCAAATACTAAAATTACTCAAGTATTACATCTGTGAAGCCTCTGAATGCAGAGAATTATTGCATGAATACATTATAAGCAGAAGGCTCGTCGTCTAAGTGAAACAACAATACAAGCTGGTGCTCTAAAAAAACATCATCATTATTATTATTAATTATAATAATGTCTTTATTTAGCTGTTTTTAGACTGCAGTCATCTTTTCCTCGCTCGTGCTCGTGTTCCTGGATTTGTCAGTTTTGTTTGCACAAAGAGGGAATTGGTGCTGTAACATGTGTGCTGCTGCACACAGTCCCTCGTACACACCAATACAGGTTTGCGAGAGCACTGCTCCCCTGTTCGTGTAACGAGCATTTGGAATAACAGTCCACTTTGAGGTGTTTTGCTTATAGCTGGCTTTAACCTGATGGTAGCAGCTATAACTACCTTGTGTTCACGACGTGCCCGCTTTTGTTGCTGCTCAATGAGGTCAGATGCAGATGCAGGAGGAGAAGCTGCTCTCATGCTGCGAATGACTCGGATGCTGTCCTCCGGGAGAGGAGGGAGACCCAGTTCCTCTCTCTTACGGACCTTTATGCTCTGCAGCCGCTCAAACCCTCCGAGTGTGAACTGAAACAGAAGACAGGAAGGTTTTTGGAAGATAAGATGGGATTTAGGAGGAAAATGAAGATAAACTCTTTGGGATATCAGTATCTCTGTGAAAGGCTGATGTTTGAGTCTCTCACCAGTATGCTCTTCCACAACAGCAACAAAACTTTCTTCATGGGAAAGTGAGGCGCATGACCGCTGCAGAATTTGGTAACCATACCAAAGAGCATAACGGAAATGGGCTCGTTGTTGAAGAGAGGAGATCCTGGATCAGAGAAGCAGGTTCATTTACAAGGCTGATTCTGCACATAACCTCAACGAGTCTTCAGCTACTCTGATGAAATTTACCCAGTTCTGTCCTGAAGGTCTCCTTGATGGTTTTCCATTCGGGCTTGTCGGCTGGGTCGTCCTGTTGGATGGTTTCCACCATCATGTACATGATGTTAAGCAGCACCCTGAGATCTGTGCTGTCAGCCAGGGAGATGGCTGGTTTCCTGACAGCGCTGCTACAGGCAGCACTGTTACTGAAACACAGACAGCACACCAGGAAGCTGGTTAACCTGAAGTCTACCACAGACAACCAGTGATTCTTCTTTTTTATTCTGAGTGAATTCATTAGTTTAAAAAACAAAAACAATAAAAACAAACAAACAAAAAACCAACAGACAAATAATGTGTTTCCCCCGTCCTAAATTTAAAGTAAAATTGCATGCTGACTGATTTATGGCACCTTTGGACATCAATAAATGCTTCCAGAAAGCTATGTGGTAGGAAAAAATTGCTTCTTTGTTTTGTTTTGTTTTTAATTGGCATTTACTTCTGCAAGGCTAAAAAATTGATGGAGAGCATACTCAATCTCCATGTTGAGCAGTTCCACCAGAGCAGAGAAGGTCCCCACATCGAGCAGCAGAAATATGTTGTATCTCATCCAGTGCTGTACCTCCACCTCAGAGCTGCACTCAGCAAAGGTTCCTAAAAACAGAAAAAAAAGAAGACAGTACATGAAGTACATGAAGACAAACTATTTTCTAGTTAACTTGAAATCATGGAAATGTGTGATGGACTGACCCTGAGCCATGTAGAGAATGGCTCTAGCAACCTTCAGCCTCTTCTCCCGGGCAGTGACTTCAAGACTGTCCAACAGGCGCATAGCGTGAGCTCTGTGCTGAGCTTCATCGAGCTCTGTCCACTTCTTATCAGACACTAAGGCACAGCAGAGGTGAAGAAAATAAACTAAGATGCATACTTGCTTCATCTTTTATTTGTATGGCTGTGTATGTATATTCTGAGTGCTTACCATGAACTCTGAATTCCTCTTCAAAGCACTTCCTATTAAGAGCAAACTCTGGTCCTTCAGTATAACTGTAAAGCTCTGCAAGACACATGAAGAGTTCATAAGTAATTTGAACACATTATTAGGTGGTTACAGGTTCTTAAAGTGTGACACACACACACTTACACACACGTACCTGACAGCTCTGCAGCCCACTTATCTGTGTCCGAATATTCAAACTCCAGATCTGGAGACTCAGACTGCCCCTGTGCACAACACACCGCAGAGGTTAGAAAGAGAGCTACTAGATACAAAAAAAAATGTAATTAATCCAATTTAATCACATCCGACTGATGTTAAGAAGTCACATTACCCAAACTCTACACACAAGCACATAAAAAACTGTTTTCTCATTTAATACGTGGTGGTATTTAGTTAGTAGTGTTTAATTTCCTTTCCAAAACTCTCCATAACAACAGCAACAACATCATCAAGAGTCAAAGCACCAAAATGTTCAAGTGACTCTCGCTAAGAGAAAGTGGTGGAAGTAGCATTTTGATAATTTACAATATCAAAAAATAAATTTGACTAGGAAACCTTCTGGATTAAAAGCCCACTTACGTTAACACATGTAAGCCAGCAAGTTGTACTTCAAGTGTGTAGTAAAAATGTTCCCCATTAGTATTTTACTGTTGGATTAATATTTCTCCCGCATTAATGTCTTTTGAGGCTTTTTACTGCTGATAACACTGTTTGAGGTTCAGCTTATACATTTTGTTGGGTTGTTTTTATCTACAGCAGTGTATCATAATCACTATGATCTTCCTTTGTAGAGTACTTGAGTCAATGCATTTAGCTGCATTTCACCACATTTTAGTATTTAGCTACAGGTGAAACACTCCTCTGTGCTGGCAGCTACTCTCTAACAAAAGTTAAAATCTTTTAACATATATATATATATATATATATTTTAATCAGGCACGTTATCCACTTTATACGTGCCTATAAAGTACGATATAAGGTATAAAGGTATAAAGGTATAAAAACATCCAGTTGGCAACAACAAGCAATACTGTTCGAAGTAGTTCAGGAGCACAAAGTAAAAAATAAGATGCAATCAAACACTGTTGTAATAGCACTATGTCCTGTTTAAGACCACCACTCCCACCACTCAGGTGGGAGTGGTGGTCTTAAACAGGACATAGTGCTATTGATGAAGGTGAAGGTGAAGGTTATTAAAACCTCCACTTTCAGTCTGCTTACTCTCTTTGGAAAGTTTCATCATGACGCTGTTGGTTTGTTGGGTTACTTAGTTCTGTCACACTCAGTCAATTATATTTTCAGTTGTCCATAAACACCGTGCACAGCTGATGTCCGTTACTTTAACACCTCACTATATTTTGGTTACATAAACCGCTTTGGGCACTGTTTGTTACAAGGCTGTACCAATAGTAGTAATAAACTTGTATTTGAGCATCTGTTACTGACAACTCTATAATCGCTTATTCTATAATTTACATTTCAGACTAGTTAATGTAGTCTCTGATTCGTAATATAAAGTTTATGAATCAATAACAATATCATATGTACCAGCTGCAACACTGAAAGTAACAGTAACACACTGAAGCTGCCATCATGAAGCATTACAACTAAAGACAGGAGGATTTACTATTGCCACTGTGAGCCTACTTTTAAGAAAAGACTGGAAATAATACACCTCTTCAAGACAGACAGGGAATCAGTGCTACCATGACTGTCTCCAGTGGCTATTTAAACCACTACACGGAAACACTCAGCTTCTTTTCTTTAAACATCACACAAATGAGTGACCAATTTTGCATATATACAGTAAAATTACACTGTAATAACCGACTGTCGCATTAGAAAGATTAAATGCGTTAACAAGGACCTAAACAATCAGTTTTCAACAGGTCATTAGGTTCCTGACACATACACAAGCCTGGCCTGTAGCCGGCTAACGTCAGCTAGCCGTCTCCTGCTCGCTTTTCAATGTGTTAACACCGGAAAACAAACGGAACACTGTACAGCTAGGTACACGTACAAACACCGTAATAAAAGTCGTTTGCTGCTCTTAACTCCCGAATCATGTTAGAAATACTAATTGTGCTACAATGACAGAGCTAGCTAACTTTACACTAGCAGCAGGAAAGGCCTCGTCTCTTTAGCTAAAAAAAAAAAATACACGCTGGAAATCAACCATAAACATCTGGATATGTACCTCTGAATCTTTTCTTTGATTGCGGGTAAATTCGCCCCTGGTTTTGTTAGGTAGCATAGCTCTCTGCTTATTGTTTACAGGTAGCCCACTACCGTTTCCACCGACGTCCATAATTTTTGGGGGCGCAGTGAACTCTCGCGAGATGAGAAATGGAACGCGACTGTCGGACTCGCGTAAGCGCATTCGCAGAATCTTGTCCGAAGGTCCGCAGCAGAGGCCCGAGGTGTGGTTGTGTAGAAGTATTTTTGAAATGAATTTTTCTCTGCCTCTTCAGGCTTCAATCCCGAACTGACGCTATGATGATGAGATCAGAAGTCGGAGCAGAGCCTGACATCTGCTGCAGGACTCATTCAGGATGAAGAAAGTTCACAACTCTGCTTCTGTATTTAGGATCTGCCGTAGCTACTGTAGAATTAATGCGGGACTACTCAGAAACTTCTCTTCTACGTGATGGATAAACATCTAAAGATGTTTACAATCCTCCAAAACAGTTTTAATTAAAGAAAATATATAATTCGCATTTATTGTAAATTATGGATGAAGTTGTGGTCAGATGTTTGCATTCACTTATCACGGTGCATGCATGGTCGAAGTGCAACTTACTAAGGGACGATAATATTTTGACCCTGTGTGGATTAGAGAAAATCCCAAGCTTGTGCAACCAGTTTTTGTTTTTGTAAAGCCATTAAAGATGTATTCTCTACAAGCATAGGCTTGTTCACAGGATATCATTAAAAGCCCCAAATTGCTGCGTCATTCATGCCCATGATGGGTAGATGTAAAAATCTAATCACAACTGTAACCATCATAATTACATTATTTTTCAATGGTAAATGGACTAGTTCTTATTCTGCGGTTATTCAGCACTTTACACAACTAGTTCACCCATTCATACAAGCACTTTTTTCCCTATGCTCTTTCTAGGTAAGTGCTTTTTGTCCAACATGCACACACATTTATACTTGAATGGGTGCATCAGAAGTAACTTGGGCTTAGTATCTTGCTCAGGGATGTTTGGTATGCAGACTGGACCAACCTTGCAATTAGAAATGACCTGCTCTCCCACCTGGCATACAGTCACCCCAGTTAGGGGTACATATGCCCAAATAAGATTATGCTGAGTGAAATGAACACAAAAAAATATTGTTCCATTTGGCTCGCTGTCACAGTTACCCACATATTTTTGCCTGTGGCCTTAGTAAGCGAATAAACACTATGTGTTTATATGCCTCTCTGCATTTAATTATTAGTTATTCATTTCTGGCTCTCCACAGCATGTTTTTGTCCTGTCTTCCTCCCCTTAGCCCCAAACAGTTGCAGCAGATGGTCACCCCTCCCTAAGCCTGGTTCTACTGGAGGTTTCTTCCTATTAAAAGGGAGTTTTCCTTCCCACTGTCACCAAAGTGCTTGCTCCTAGGCGGTCATAGGATTTTTGGTGTTTTCTATTTTCTTTGTAGGGTCATTACCTTACAATATAAAGCGCCTTGAGACAACTGTTGTTTTGATTTGGTGCTATATAAATTAAATGGAATCAAATTGTGTAAAGCTTATTGTCTGTCTGCAGGAAAATGATGTTTCTGAGCCATTTTCAAATTTAAACTGGAGTTTATTAAAGGAGAAAGTGAAGAGAAATTTAACAAGCTGTATTCAGTTGACATTATGAAAACAAACTAGAAACAAAGTTGAAAAATAAGCAAACATTATAGGTACTATATAATGTAGACAACCTTGTATTCAAATGTAACAATGTACAGCTTCCAAATCACAGTGGTATACTGATTAACTTCAATTTAACAAAAGTCAAGCTGTTTGTGCCAGTAATATAACATTCATTTGTCTCTATAACAGAGGAACAACTAGGTTAAAGTGACTGTCACTAATAGTTATAAAGCGAAGCATTTTCCGAGTGCCATTATGAAAGTAAATGTGCCATTATTACAAGAACTAACATAGAGAAGGTAAAAAAAAAACCCCATCACAATAAATGTAAAAGGTAAATATCAGAATGTAAAATGCTGCTTATTCAAACTGTTTACAGTAATTATTAGCATACCTTTTATGGAATTTGTGAAACACTGATTTTTACAGAAGAAAGGCTGAGGATTCTTTGCTGCATAGCTAGAACTGTATATTGCAGGGTAATAACTGTGACGGACAATAACATGGATAAAAAGAAAAACGCACAGATGGTCCATGTGAATATAAATTACTAAGTGAGTTACAAGGCACTGTCAACTGATCAGTAACCATGGTTGCAGCACTCCTTTTACTGAAAATGATGTCCTCCTTGGCTGTAATGCCCTTAAAGCTGTTAGTGCAAAGATGAAAAGCACTTAGCAGTAGCACACTGTAGGCTACTATTCAATAAACAACAGGAGTAACTGGGGAGGGGCGCAACCTGTTCATTTAAAATTGAAAATTACTGCACAAATGAATTACGCAGTTTCTATAAATTCAGGTTTATGCTTAGTGCAGTGATGAAACAGGATCCTCAGTCATGTGGCGCGTTACTTTAAATGGTAACAAAGTGTCAAACACTTGAGAGGAACAGCGGTGCTGTCAACTGTAAAGCGACCATCCTCTCAAACAGCACAATGAAATGTGTTGAAGAGCTGCAAGTTCAACAAGATACAACTATCTGTGTAATACCTAGTTTAGACATAAAATGAGTTGCTCAACTCAGTCATCCAAAGTGCCCACTGTTTAAAAAAAATCACATGTGAATATAACAGAGCAAAATGTGACTTTGCATTTAACAAGCCTCACAAGCGTTTACGCCTCACAGTGCGTAAGCCTTTAAAATGATCACAATCTTCTGGAAACACACATACTGTGTTGGATTAGAATAACTATAATACCACAAGATAACGGGAGGTAAAGCTAATACAACAAAGCTCATCCATGTCTAGTCCCAGAGCATTTAGGAAACAACAGTTACTTTTCCGTTGTTAGCATTCTTTAACAGAGTCCTGAGACAAATCTAACAAGACACAGCATTATGAGACCAGCTGATCAGACGCTGCTGTATGTACAGTATAAATGTGTTGTATGTAACAATGCTCAGCTAGCTTTACAAAGCCGCCAATTTCAATTTACTCTGAACAGCTAAACCTGAAAAATGACACGGATCACAGACACGATTATATCCCTCTAATTTACAGATGTGCTGTAAATATTCAATTCAAACCAACAGATTACGCATGAATACTAAGATTAGATAGTGCAGATGCATTGACATATATTTACAAATAATTAGAGATATTTGAATGCCCTGAGGTACAGATATAACTCTCACCAGACACCAAAACCTCATAAATGGACAAATTATTTTTCAAGAAAAAAAAAAAAAAGACAAGCTCTTACATTTGCTATGCTCAACAAGCGCTTATGTTTCTGTTATGCCCAGTGAAGGTTAGCACTAATTGTGAGGATACTACAACAGGAGTGTATCTTGTGTATGGAACGTATAAGGTGATTAAGTGCTTTAATATCAAAGCAGGAAGAAACGATTAAAGCAGCACAGAGCAATTTCTGACCACTGGACAGTAAAAATACTCAGAGGAACAAAACTTTGATTTACAGTCAGCTCATCAGGTTATTATGGCTCATCTGTAAGCAGACGATTGCCTACTCAGCAGATACACAGGAAAAACTGATTTGACATCCGATTAATGCCAAATCACTGGCTAGTTTAAAAGTAACATTAAGTCTCATATCAACTGGCCTTTCAACTCCGATTTGGTCCACCTACTCCTGAGAGAAGAAATTTAAAAAAAAAAAAACAACAACCAGGAGTTTAAATCATGTCACTTTTTTTTTGCAATTGTTGGCTTGTCTGTTTTTAAGGAAAAGACTGCAAACAGTTTTAAGCACAATATTGATGAGAATGCCAAAAATAAGGAGCTAAAAGTGCATAAAAAGCACAGTAAGCTCCTGAGATTCCTGGGTTTGGCATTTTAAGTAACTGCTTTGCAGTACATGGAGGGAATGATTATACAAAAATAGTGCGCCGTGTGGGTTTAGCATGTTTAACAACTAATATTTCTGAACAACCACAACCCTCCTCTCACAGTCATTTGGCACAATATGCTGATATACCCAACAGCTTTCAGAATGGAAACGCATGCAATTAAAAAAAATCATACATTTTCTTTTTTTTGCATGTGTTACCTCACATGAGCTGAGTGCATACGCTTCACTTTTCATTGCCAGCTTGGGTGTCATTGGTAAAGCAGCAAAACTTTCTACAGTCACTAAAATACAAGTAAATGAGCCATGTGTCCCATGAAGGGTAAAAAATACAATACACAAATCTTTTTTTTGCCTGGAGGTCGGGTACTAATCAGGAACCATCCACATGTTGTTGTTCTCAGGTGAGACAGACTAATACCTGTGAATAACAACAACAAAAACAGATAATGTGAATGCAACACAATTCTTAAAAATTGTTTATGTGTTGGCAAACAACCTAGTGCAATAACAATAAGTTAATATAAGTTTAAAAATATTTCCCCATTTCAAAATTTTAAAATGTGTAAAAGTGTACCTGTAGTAATTGGGTTTAAAAGGGCCATTCTTATTCAGACCCAGGTATTTTGCCTGCTCGTCACTAAGCTCTGTCAGGTGGGCATCAAACGTGGCCAGATGCAGACTCGCAACATATTCATCTGAAAAACAAAGACATCCATTAATAAGAAAGAAATGGGCGCACACACAGAAGATGGGTATCTGTCAGTTCATGCACTCCATTCTTGCAGGCGTCCATAAATAATGCCTGTAGGCTTTCAACATGTAAATAATACAGGCAGTGGTTAAGTATTTAAATCCTTACCCATCTTTTTGGGAAGCAAGTAAACGTCTTGCTTGTAACGTCCCTCTGGAGCATTGTACAGCTCAATGAGTGCCAGAGCCTGAAAACAAACATCAATAACACTGCTGAAATTTTATTGCACATTATGAATTTAATGAATAGCGCAGGATTAAATTATGAACTGCTGATTATAATGAGAGAGTGCAACTATGAGCAGAAACAGCGTGTAGATGTTGAGTGTCCTGTGTATTATAACATATCAGCGTCAGCAAATGAGCTTATCTGCAAGGACAGCCATCTAATTACAGAAAATGGAAAAA